ATACAGCAAACGTTATTTTCAAAAACAAACTAGGTGAGTTGGGAGACAGGAGTAGAAGAAATAACCTAAGATTTACGGGAATTGAAAAAGACGAAAATGAAACATGGGAATTGAGCAAAGAAAAGATTCAAAATGTTTTTAAGACAAAACTTGTATTTAAAAGTAATGTTGAATTGAACAGGCGCACTGAACGGGGAAAAAAGGTAGCGATGGAAAAAAGCATAACAGAACCATAATAGTTAAATTTTTAAACTACAAAGTCAAAAAAAACTGCTTTGGATAATCATGTTCAGTTAAAGTTGTAGGACGATCGATTTTATGTAAACGAAGACTACAGCAAAAGAACTTAAGAATTGCGAAGACAATTATTTAAAGAACCAAAAAATTTGATAGACTAAGGTAAATATGCTAAAGTTGAATATAATAAACTTGTAACACGCAATTTTGAAGAAACTCTTTTATCGTAGAGTTAGTGAATTTATCTTTATTATTATTTTTTCTTAATTTTTATTGTTTTTAAATACTAAAATGGACTCAAATCGCTTTAAAAAATTTGATATTTTCCAATTCAATGATTTTATACTTAACAAAGGATCTGATCCGGACCAAAGTTATTTTAGTGAAGTTGATGCTTTACAAAGCAACTGTAGCTGTTTTTATAATATTGAAATAAAAGAATTTTTTTGAGTGTGATAAATTTAACGCAATTCATATAAATATAAGAAGTTTACAAAAGAATTTTGAAAACTTTTGCAATATTTTTCAGGAAAATCCAACTAGTTTTTTTATAATTTTTTAGTAACTTTTTATATTTTATTTTATATTATTTTATATTATATTTTATATATATTATATTATTTTATATTATATTTTAGTAACTTTTTATAATTTTTTAGTAACTTTAGTTAACTTTTAGTATAATATGCCTAACTAAAACTTGGTGTAGTTCTGATGACTCAAATTTAGATAATAATTTTAAAATACCGGGCTATAACTTGATTTCATTAGGGCGGAAAACAAATAAACGCGGCGGTGGTTTAATTATTTATGTAAAAGAAAACCTACGGTATTATATTAGGTATGACATAAGTATTTCTGACGTCAATAAAGAGGTTTTAACGATTGAAATATTGATCAATAAAACTAAAAACATTGTGATTAGCTGTTGCTATCGCCCACCTACTGACAAAATTAAAACATTTAGTACATTTTTATATAATGTTATTATAAATAAAACACACTACGAAAAGAAATTACTTTACATATTAGGTGATCTGAATTTAAACTGCTTTGAGTATCACGTCAAAAAAGAGATTAATGGGTTTTATAATGGTCTATTTGAAAATGGAGCAATTCCTCTAATAAACAAACCAACTAGAATTACTCACACAACAATTTCCTAAATTGATAACATCATAACCAACGATATTTTTAATTATTCGCTTAAAAAAGGGATTATTAAAAGTGATATATCTGATCATTTCCCTATTTTCTTTTAAATAGATATTTATGCAAAAGTTTTATATAACGAAAAAAAAAGTTTTATAAACGAATTTTTCATAATAAATCTTTTAAATATCAACTTTCTTTAGTTAATTGGAATATTATTAACTTTTCTGAAGACATTAATTTAATATACAAATCTTTTTTTAAAATTTTTAATGAAATTTATGACATTAATTTTCCCAAAGTAGAAATAAATTACAAAGATAAAAAAATTAAACCGCCATGGATTACTAAAGGTATTCTAAAATCTTCTAAAACTATACAAAAACTTTATGTTAAGTATTTAAAATCAAAAACAACTGAGAATAAGACCATTTACAAAAGTTACGTAAGACTATTTGAACGCCTATGGAAAAATTCGAAAATATTATACTACACTAATTTAAATTTAAAGCAGCCGTGGCGCAGTAGTAGCACACTTGCCTCAGAAACGTAAAATCCGTGGTTCAAACCCCACCTCTGGGTAAGTTTTGCGACATCGGTTGGGAAGTAGGCGTGAACTTCCTATTAAATGCAAAATAAGACCATAAGGACTTCTTGAAGCTCCTAAAATCAACATTTATAAAAAAAAAAAAATTTACTAGAAAAATACAAATTTAACTCAAAACACATTTGGCAACTAATAAATGAAATTACTGGTAACACTAAAAAAATATCGCAACTTCTGCCCTCACTTTGTGGGCACGGACGTAAAAAAAAACTCTTTTGAACGTCTTATACACGTTTTTGACGTCTATTAAAAGTCTTTTGAACGTTTTGGACGTCTTTTGAACGTTCAAAAGACGTCTTTTTTTAGATCGGTGCTTAATGGGCAGTTATTAAAGTAGTTGATAATTTTTTTCTGAATCAAAAAACAATCGCTTCTGATTTTAATAGATATTTTGTATCTGTAGGACCAAACCTAGCCGAAAAAATTCCAAACCCTAAAAAATTAATAAAGGCAACATATGACCCTTTAAACTCGTATCTTAACTTTTTTGATTTGTTTTTTAAAGAGTTTTAATGTGCTTTTAAATTATTAAAGTCAAATAAAGTAGTTGGTCCAGATGATGTCAATGAAATGTTATTATAAACTGTTTTGACGTTTTAAAAGACATACTTTTCCAAATTTTTAAATGCTCTATTATTCAGAGAGTTTTTCCTGACAACTTAAATGTAGCAAAACTTATTTATATATTTAAAGAAGGAGAAAAATCTAATGTAAAACACTATAGTCCAATTTCTATCCTTTCTGTTTTTTCTAAAATTTTAGAAAGAATTATGTACAACAGAATATATAATCCCTTTTTATCAAACAAATTATTATATAGCATACAATATGGATAAAAAAATAATAATAATTCAACAGAGCATGCTATTATTCAGCTTACAAGAAGTATATCAGACTCATTTAACAATTCTAAATTCACGTTTGGAAAATTTATTGATTTAGCAAAAGCGTTTAATACAATTGATCATAAAATTCTTGCTAAAAAATTAACGTATTATGGTATATCAGGCAATTGTAAACAATTTGTTTGCGCTGATGAAATATTTTCATCAAATTTGTTAAATAGTACATGTGGAGTTCCTCAAGGATCCACATTAGGACCTGTTTTTTTCCTCATTTATATAAATGATCTATGCAAAGCCTCGGATTAAATTACAATTATGTTTGCTGATGACACTAATTTATTTATGTCACACAAAAGTATTCCCACTCTATTTCATTACGTGAACATTAAGTTAATCAAAATATCTGACTGGTTTAAGACCAACAAATTATCTCTTAACATTGATAAAACTAAATGAATTCTTTTCCATCCTCTCGTCAAAAAATATAAACTGCCAATTAACATGCCTCATCTTGTTATTGACAATATACAAACTAAACAAGTAACAGTTACCGACTTTCTAGGTGTTTGTATAGATGAAAACCTTACATGGAAAAATCACATTAAAAACTTATCAAGTAAAATTTTAAAAAGTATAGTAATATTGTATAAAGCAAGAAATGTTTTAAATAAACATACTTTAGTACAATTATATCACTCATTTATTCATTGTCACATAAACTATGCAAAGAATACTTGGGGTAGTACATATAAAAATAAACTTAAACCTCTTTATTGTCAGCAGAAGCAAGAAGCACGTCTTATATATTTTAGAAACCGTTATACTCATGCCTAGCCTCTATTATTTAAAATGAAAAATTTTAATATATATGAGAATAATATCTTTATTATTCTTTGTTTTATGTTAAAAAATATAAAACCAATTCATCTCCGATCTCTTTCTATAGTTTGAATTCATCAAAAGATAAAAATACAGAAGGCAATTTTTCAAACAAATCTTTTTAAAATTTTGTATTGATTATCGCGGACCATTCTTATGGAATCAAATAGTTTTGAAAAATTTTACTGAGGATTTTATTTATCAAAGTAACTATTTTTCTTTTGAACGAAAGCTTAAAGAACTTATTTTTAGAATCAAAGATTTGAAAATATACCTTTGATATTTTTTTCGTGATTTTCCTTTTTACTCTCTATTTAAACAGAATTTAAAAAAATTATATATGTAATATTGTATTATCTATTTGTAACGGAATATTTCAAGTTTCTTACTTTGTTACTTATTTTTTTGTCTTGTAAATATCTTATAAATTTTTACACGAACATTTCTTAGCGGTACTCGGCGAAAAGACCGTATGGTCTTCTACCAAACCATCTAAAAACACGGTCCTCGCGTTCTTTTATTATTTAATAACGATCTTTATATATATATATATATATATATATATATATATATATATATATATATATATATATATATATATATATATATATATACATATTATTTAAAATATTGTGCCAAAATGCTTATTGAAAATGTCATAAAAAGAACTAAAAATAAAAAAATAAAAAAAAATGTAATAAAAAGAATAAAAAAAATAGTTTATGCTTTATAAACAAAAGTGTGATTACAAAGATTTGCATGTTGTTAAAAGAAAAACTATTGGTAATAATAATAAAAGTAAACTTTTTAAGAGTAAACTTTTTGGGTTAGAGAAAGTAACAGTACTTTTTCAAAATTTCTATTAAAGAATTGTAGAATTTTAATTTGTAGAATTTTCAAAATCGCAACTAAGTTGCAATTTTTGCTCAAGATGAGTCCTTTGAATATCTATCCATAGTCTTTACAGAGAAAAAGCTCAGGTAAGATCTCTCGCCAAAGGAATCGTTTACTTGTTTCCGATTCATCCGAGTCTTAGATAAATTAGATGATTTTACTTACAACTTTTTTTTTTTCTTTTTTAGACTGATTCTTCTAAACCAATATTTATAAATTAATTCGTTGTTAAAGCCCAATATGTATTGATTCTTAATCTTGTCCAAATTGCTTTGTGATTAAAATTATTTTGTTTTAACTCTACTTTTATTATTTCTATTTCTATCTATGTTATGATATCAAAAGTATTTTGTTTTATCATTAAGATAATCAAAACAATTAGAAAATACTGTTTCTAAGATACATATATTTAATCTGTTTAATAGTTATAACAATTAAAAAATATTATAAAAGTCTAATGATAAATCAAACTCAGATGATTTTGTGAGTGCAAATGTAAACGCATAAATTGTCTTATGTTTTCTGAAAGAAACGCAAAGTTCAAGTCTACGTATTTTGATAACCAAAATTTAACCAGTTTACTTTAGCAAAGACATGTTACATAATTTTAAAGCAAAAGTAAAAACTTGAGTTATAAATAACTTTTTCGTTTGACTTTTATATTTGTATATCTATCTAGTTTATTTTAATACTTGTATATCTATCGTTTAATGGAAGAATGGATTCTCCGCGAAGTTTTTTTATTTCTTCAATTGACTTTACTTGATATTGGAAAATCTCGTCTTCTATTATACTATCTTCATCATTATCTGTTTCCAACGGCAAAAATAACGGCGCAGTATTCTCGTTAAATTCGAAATTGAGATAACAGCCACCTTGAGACATTACCTCATCAAAGTAATCACGTAGTGTTGTAAAAGTTGGACGTTTTAATGGATCCTCATTCCAACACTGCAACATAATGTCGTACCTAAAATTGTATAAATAATCCAAAATAAAAAACAATGCTTTGTAAACTAGTGCACAAAATTAAAATATATTACATTGATTCAGAACAAATATTTTAATAATAAAATCTTCCTAAAACCTAAAATTGTATCAAATAACTACCTTAGTAATAAAGTTTTCCTAAAATCAAAAATTATATTAAATAATTATCTTACAATAAGCAACAATGTTTAAAAATCAGTGAACAAAATCCAGAGCTGGGCATCGCTATTAAATTTATGAAAGAGCTACCCCTACCATCTGCATTTTTGATAACCAGAAACCGCTACCGCATTCCCGCTACCCTATCAAACTTTAAAGTAAGTAGCGTTAGTCACTTTTAGTATGCAAGCAAAATTAAAAAAAAAAAAAAAATCATTTCCTCCTTTACCACATTGAGTTTATATCATCAATATGTCATCGATATGGGATTATATTTAGTGGCGGTTTTTTATTGTTTTAATCTCTTTTTAGAGTTTTACACTAAGTTTAATTTTACATAGTGTTGTAATTTATTATGAGTAAATTGTAACTTACATCAATGTTGCCAGCAATCGATGTCCGCCTGGTAGGTCTCATTGAATTCTGCCACGCCTAGTCTAATTTGCTGGTGTTTATTAGATGCAAAATGTCCTTAATCATGCATCTTTTTACTCTAACTATTGTATTGCCCAATGTGTTATATTCATAGCAGATGTAGCTGAAAACTAGCAGCTTGTAACGCAAATAAAAAGAAATGCCTTTCAAATGTAAATATTATAAAAAGTTTAAACTCTTATATTTATATAGAACAAAAAGCTATAGAAAATTATATTCTTTGACCGATATTTTCTATTATAAACGCATTATAGCAGAAGTTCTAACTAGTGATCCCTAAGTTTGCAAACCTAGGTTTTGATGCTATTTGCCATCACAATCATCTTATTTTAGGCATTCCATGTTTCATTTTATATATATATATATATATATATATATATATATATATATATATATATATATATATATATATATATATATATATATATATATATATATATATATATATATATATATATATATATATATATATATATATATATATATATATATATATATATATATATATATATATATAATATATATATATATATATATATATAATAATATAAAACTCTACTAAACTGTTTAAAGGCGTAGTCATAGTTTAAACCGTTGATTATAGATAATGCATTAAAATGAAGATTAGAAATACCTATGTAAAATGCCAAAGTTCAATCAACTAACCCACTTTTAAAAATGCAACATTATTCTAGATCTAGAAACAATTATCTGTTGACAGTTTTACAAACTAACATATTGCAGGCATTCTGCAACTTTATATTGATGGTATGTAGAATTGTATATAAAGTTAATATTTTTTTAAGCAATACTTTAATGAGATGATAAAAAGTTTTTATTAAAGCGTATATATGCATAATACAAGTAATACATCATTTTTTGTAAAGCATAAATGCTAGTTCTTAAAAGTTTTTAAATCATATTAAATTACACACTTGCACACATATCTTGCAGTACACATCTTTTGAAATAACGGGTAAGTTTCCACAAATTTATTTATATATTTAATAACTGTGTACATGTACAATGACAATGCACGGAGCTTAGTTGATCTAGACTTTAACAGCCGATTAATGTTAAAAATAAGTCCAACTTTGATTTAAATTATTTGAGTGTTTTGGAATCTACAATGTTTTGATCTAAGTTATTCCAGCTGTTAATAACACGTTCGTTAAGAAATAGTACCTCTTTGGATTTTTAGTTAATTGTCTATGAAACCTCATATTGTGACTCTCGTATTTGAAGCTATTAAATCTGGTGGGTATTCCAATGTTAAATTATCTATTTTTTTTACTATTTTGTATAGTTGGATTAGGTCGTTACGGTCGCGTCTTTTTTCATGAGTCGTTAAATTAAAGTAGGTTAATCTACTTTCATAGTTTTTTTCTTGAAGACATTTTATTCCTGTTAAAAAATTTTGAAAAATTTATTTTCAACTTACTATAGTTTTCGTAAATGAAAAAGTCTGTAACTTAAATAGTTTGTAATATGTATTTAAATAGTGGCAGAATAACGGTTAACTTTTTTTTTTGGTAGCAACCTAAGTCCGCGACCAAACTCTTTTAGTGCAATTTTCTTAATTATTTTGTCGCAACTCTTCCCAATTGGAAAATTACATGTAGCGGGACGGTGTAATAGCGAAGTCCGTGAATTCACGTTAATGCCTAGCTCTAACAAAATCATAATAAATTACATTGTTTCAGAGCAGTTTTCAGGTTTTTCCATTCGATAACCAGATTTCAAAAGAGAGAGAAGTTCACGATTACTTATACCAGGATAAGGCGTACCTCCTATGAAAATTTAACAAAAGATAAAAAAAAAGCTTGTTGTATTGAATTTCAGAAAAACTTGTATTATTGTTACCTAAAGTTATAATTTCAAACAAAACAACACCATATGCCCACCTAAAACATGCAAAAAACTAGTTAAAAAAACGTAAATGTATGTATGTGTGTGTGTATATATATATATATATATATATATATATATATATATATATATATATATATATATATATATATATATATATATATATATATATATATATATATATATATATATATATATATATAATATATATATATATATATATAATATATATATATATATATATATATATATATATATATATATATATATATATATATATATATATATATATATATATATATATATATATATATATATATATATATATATATATATATATATATATATATATATATATATATATATGTAGATGGTAATGCAGATTTATTAAAAGATCTTTGTTTTAATAACTTTTAGAATCAAAATAAAATCTATGAAGAAATTATATTTAAAAAAATTACACATCGCTAAAGGATGTAAAGAGCTGGTGATATATGGCTTCAATAGACATCCATTTGACCGGTAAACGACGTTTTTTCTTGCTCATATAATTTAATTCATCATTAATTTTTCGTGTGAGACCAAAATCAGATATTTTTACAGTTTTTCCTGATCCAACCAAAATATTTCTAGCTGCCAGATCTCGATGAACCAACTTAGAAAACGAAAGAAACTCCTGAAAAATAACGAAGTTTAAAATATTGACAAAGCCTAAAATATATTTAATAATTTTTAGTTATTTGGTGTTAAAGTATATTAAAAGAAAAGTTTACTTTTAGTGTTTCATCACCATTGCATTTGCAGACATCCGTATCTATTCTCTATATTTATAGGTTATATGATACTTAATTACATTTTTCTACATATACCAGCGAACATGTCTTATTGGGGTCCATATGAGTTTGCCCATGTGGGACCTATATGGGCTATATATACGGGCTCAATATGGGCCCAATTGAATACAAAAAAAACTTTTGAATTCAAATTAATTTTTATTTAATGGCTAGCCTACATGGGGCATATTTAGGACATAAATTAAGTTAAAAAAGCGTTAAGTTTTATCTTATTATCTAAACTTAAATGCGATCTGATTGCGCGATAGTGAGACATGAATTGTCGAAAATCAGTAAAAAAAGTTTATCGCTAAACACAACATAACCGCATGTTTATTTAAAGACTTAGTCTGTGAATAATCATGTCTATTTATATATAAACAATAATCTTGAGAAAATAATATAGTTTTAGTTTTCATTGAAGAAAGATTTATATAGTGGCTATACCAAGATTTTTATATTATGCGTTTTTATATAAAACTTGTTACAGAATCAAAACAACAGATAATAAAATATTTGCTTGTCGTCATTTTCGTTAAAAAATGCGTACGTACTATACGACATAAAAAGATAATAAATGCGCACAACTTAAAGTATCATTTTTGTTATTGTTTTCGTGTTCAAAAAAAAACATTTACTAAAAATATTAGTCCTTATTCGGCCTTGACGTTTTCTACTTTCTGTGTTCCTTAAATGACCGATCTGTCTTTCTCTATGCTATCTTTTTAACTCTAATATATATGCCTATCACTAAAATATCTTCTTTATCCCCAACAATATCAACCCATGCAATAACCAGGGTGCTCAGAAAGGAAAATACTGGTTAAATGTGCGCGCAATGATATGAGGTACTCCGCTAGGCAATTAGCTGGAAGAGTATAAATCACAATACCACACTTACTTTATGAAAACCCCCCGTACGTTTCTCAAATGTAATTACGTCTCAACGCTTTTCTCAAACTTTAAACTAAATTCAAATTTACTATTTTTCGAAAAATCTTCTTTTTATTTAACGTCAAATAATTTTACAGACTCCGTAATAGTACTATTAATGCCATGTATTGGTGGTAGTAAAAGAGTTTTAGATTGTATTTGATTGTTATTTTTTTAAACATTAAAGAGAACTTAATCAAAAAAGTTACAAAGTCAGTTTTAAAAGACTGAAAAAAAACTTTTTTAAGTATGAAAAAGTTTTCAAAAGTGTATACGCTATTTGAGTTTTTATTTCACAAGCAAAACTTTTAGTATTTTTAGTTCACAAGCAAAAATGTTAATAAAATGAAAGGTATTGAAAAGAAACAATAAAAGTATTGTAATGGGTAGTTAATTTTTAAATATATATGTTTTTAATTGACTAATACTTTTACTATTTTATTATTTGAATAATGTGGTATATTTGTTAATATTTTTTACTGTTTACCTTTTTCTATATTTATATATATATATATATGTTTTCTACATATACTTATTTTATATTCGTACCTATTGTTTTTCAATATTTATACCTCTATTCTATACCTATACGTATTACTTCTATAAAACTAGACTCAAATCATATATTTATGACAACATGTCAATTTATATGTTTCTAATTTAAAAATAAATAGTTATTCAAAATAATATAAAAAATTTAAATTAATGAAAAAGTGAGACCCATGTGGATCCCTCACATGCGACCCATATTGGTTGCCCACTTGTGCCCCAATTCATGCCCAGCGACAATTTTTTTTTGGGTGGGATGTGGTCAACCCATTTTAGCCCCATAAAACTGCCTATTTGGGCCCCAATATGACTTGCTCACTGAGATTAGGGTAGACATACCCCATTAGCACGTCTAGACCATTTTATATGCTTAAACCTATACCACAAATAAATTTTCACTATTTATAAGCAAAGCCTTTCACCATAATTACTTCCCAGCTAGCAAGTCATTTTGGGCTCCACATGGGGCCCATATGGGTTGCCCACATCCTGCCCAAAGAAAATTGTCGCTAGACATGAATTGGGGCCCAAGTGGGCAGCCCATATGGGCTGCATATGTAGGACCCAAATGGGTCTCACTATTTTATTTATTTAATTTTTTTATAATATTTTGAATAATTATTTATTTATTTTTAAATTAGATTTATATAATTTAATATGTAATCATAAATAAGTCACGTGAGTTTAGTTTCATAGAAAACAGGAAACCAAACATAGAAAGAATACGGTAAACAATAATAACCTTTTATAAAAAAACCACAGTGTTTAAATAATAAAATGGTAAAAGTAATAGTCTGATGTAAATAAGTAAAATCAAATTTTTTTTTAAATAAGTTTGTTAAGACTTGTGATAAAGGACCTCTTTAAGACGTGTCATTTTATGTACATTTTTGCTTGTGGGTTTATAAAAACTTAAATAGTATATACACTTTCAAAAACATTTTATACATAAAAAAAAATAACTTTCAAATACAATTTAAAACTTTTTTACTACCACTAATACAAGACATTGATAGCACTATTATGGAGTCTTTAAAATGATTTGACTTTAAATAAAAAGAAGATATTTTGAAAAAGAGTTGATTTGAATTTAGTATAAAATTTGAGAAAATCTTTGAGACGTAATTACATTTGATATACGTAAGTGGGTTTTCATAAAGTGAGTTCGCTATTGTGATTTATACTCTTTCAGCTAATTGCCTAGTGGAATACCTCATACCATTGCGCACAAGATCAGATAGAATTCAAATTTAGAAAATAAGATGGAATTTAACGCTTTTTTAACTTCATATATGGGCCCTAAATGGGCCTTATATGGGCTAGCCCTTGAATACAAAAATTTGACTTTTTAACTACATATATTGGTCCAAATTAGGCCCCATGTGGGCTAGCCCCTGAATACAAAAGTTTGTATTCAAGGGCTAGCCCACATGAGGCCCATTTTGGGCCCATATAAAAAACCAACATCGGGCCCACTAGGGCAAACACAATAGGACATGCTTGCTTGGTTTATGACCGTTTCTTAGGTTTTAAACATTTTATGTGGTATATCCTATATCACATATTTTTACAACCTTTATTCTGTACTAACGAATTTTCAGGTTATTTTGAAAGAATTAGAGTTCTATTACTCGCTGTCGAACTACACTTTTTCCTAGAGCATGGTTTTAGCCAAAGAAATTTTATTCATTTGACATCGTTAAGAACTTTGATATTAGGCTGATTTTGAAAGATTGATGGAAATATTAAAAGTGCTAGAAAAATCCCAAAAAATGACTAATGAAAATTAGTTTTTTATGTCTTGATTTTTTTGAAGTCGCGTTCTAAACTAAAAAAAAAACATTTCCGCGTCTTTTTCAAAACGTACAATTAAAGATGTATAATACTTGTACTTCATACTTTACTAAATCTAGATGTTTGTCCAAATGCAATATGTTCTTCATCAAATTTAAGCCGAAAAAGGTAAACTAATGCTTAAGATATTTCAACATATAACTTTACTCGAACAGTTAAAATTTTTTTAAATCATTCAACTATTAGTTACTGAATTTTATTTCTTATAAATGGTAGTTGTTAACTCTTAGTGACACTAAGTGTGTCTTTTCTCGTAATTTATAGTTGTTGACTCTTAGTGACACTATTTGTGGTCAGAACTAGTTAAATATAATACTGAAAATATAACTTTATGTTATGAAATATAATATGATCAAAATTTACTAAAGTATTCTTAATTTATTTTGAAATGTTTTACATGACAGTGAATTATTTGATTACAGTGAAACTCATTTTATTCTTAATATAAGTAATATTTTTGCTAACTCTATCACAACTTGGCAGAGATATTACTAATTTACTTAGTAATATATTTGCTTCACTGATGTAATAAAATTGTAATTTTTTACGCAAATGTTATTATATTTACAAATTATAAAGTTACATATCAATTATAATTATATAGTTACTAAATAAATCAATAGTTTTATTTACAAGACGTTGACTTAGGAATGTTTTTAATTTTGAAAATAAGTTTTCAATCTTTACATTAATCGGTCAACAACTTATGATCAGGACTTGACTCGAATTTGCATATATATTAAGTAATTGATTTTATTTAAAATATATCTTTTATTAAAATACAGAATAAGATATAATGATGATGAGATGAGTGGTCGCTGTTGGTGTTTTAATTCAAAAGCCTGGAAGTAAAGAGCGCGGTCAGTTTTGGTAGCAGGTTTCTGATTCGTTAAACAAAAAAAGTTATGAAATAAAGTCTTTCCTTTCAAAGCGTAACAAAAACCAACGTTTTTCTAAAGATGAATATAAAAGCATATATTGGAATGATCCTGTCCCACCACAATTTTATGGGCTAATTAAAGCTCATAAACAAGACAAATCTTATCCGATGAGAGTCGTTGTATCAATTATTGGTAAACTTTGTTATCGAATTTCGAATTACTTGAATAAAAAAATACAACCGGTCTTAAATAAAAATCCTATTAGGTTAAAAAAATCAAAAGACTTGATAAACAAAACTAACTCGCGATTAATTAAAAAAAAGAAAATACAGGTATCCTTCTAAATTGTAAACTTATACGCATCAATACTCTTAAAAGATAAAATAAAAATAGCAATCCCAATGATTTCTTTAATTGATATTAAACCCTTTCATAGATATATAGATAATAACCACGCTAGGTTTTCTAACTTGAAGCAAGCTGAACAGTTAGAAACAATCCTTAACAGACAATATCGTCTTTAAAATATATTATTGAAGTTGAAAACAAAATCAGATACTTAACTTTCTGGAATAACTGTTATTAATTATACACACAAAAAAATATGAGTTCAAGAATTAAAGTCAGTAGGCTATAACCAATATCCAAATCAAACCAAATTATCATCACAATCCCAAAATTTTAGAAGCAATATTCAACGGAGACATACACAGAGCATACTCAAAATACAGCGAAACCCGTTTAAAAGATGAGATAAATTTTTTAATTCAAGTGTTAACTGAAAACAGTTACGATGAATAAGTGCCTGAAGATATTTTTTATCGGGTTCAAAAAAAAACGTTTAAAAATAAAAAATAAAATTCTATCAAAATCTAATAACCTTTCTACAATCTCTTTACTATGGATAACAGTAATATCTCCAAGACTTAAAAGAATATTCAAAAAAATTGCTTAAGAGAACTGTTTTTAAATCAAACGCTATTTTTTTCATATTTAAGTAAAAGAAACCATTACAAAGGTGACGTCAAAATTTAAAAACTTTTGTTATTTAACGGTCACAATTTTTTTAATTATATTATTTTTTATGCTGATGATGCCGATAATCCGGCGAAAATTTCAAATATATTATTTAGTATTGAGAGAATTCGTTTTATCTGATGTTTTAAGTTAGTTCATATATAAATGCTTTCGTACAAGATGTCAACATTTAAGTTTGATGCATGTTTTTGCATTTTGTTTGTTATTTTGTTTTACTATTATTTTAATTTTTTTTTTTTTTTCGTATTTAATTATTATTTTTTATGGTTTATTTTAATATCATTAGAAGTTATTGTTAGAATATTAATTCGTATAAACAGCAATATAAACAAAAGCAACAGACAATACCATTCCTGACGCCACTTGCCAAGCAAAACGAAGCAAATCATCAGGCGTTATTATTCCAATATCTTCTGACGGAATTCCATTATGAATAACTCCCAAAGATGAATCACCCGCTTTAATTGTTGTTGTCTTAAAAAAATGATGAATTAACAAATGATCAAAAAACATTTAACGTTTTTAATTTTATTTAAAAAAACTTTTTTATTCCCTCACCAGAAAAAGGATAAAAACTTCAAACCTTAAGAGATTGCTGATATCCTTGTGTATACATAAAGTTTACAGACGATTTTCTGTCAGTATAAAAAGCACAAAACTAAAAAAAAGTAGACACAAGGCTTTTTGAATTCTGAGAAAAAAGTCAAAATGAATAATAGTATGAATGAAAATAAAACTAAAAACAAAATAAATAAAAATAACATAACTATCAAAAAATAAAAAGATATAGAGAACCCAAAAGTTTCTGGCTTGAAAAGTGCATACTAAAATTATACATATTTATAATCGTTAGCTATTTATTATTCATTCAAAATACAAAGAATTTGTAATGGAATTTTCTTTTATAGTTTTTATGTTATGACATCGTTATGAAATCAGTTTATAAGACTTCATTTATTGTAAAACAATTAGACTCGATTGGTCGTTTGCTAGAATAATATTGATAAAGATTTTCATATAATTAATATAGAAAAAAGACCAAAGTTTTGGGAAGTGTTTTAATAATGTGTAGTTTGATTTATTTTTTAAACTGAAAAAGGTTTTTTTTACAATTTTAGTAAAATAAAACATGAATTTTTTTTATAGCAAAAATGAATACATAAATAATACCCTTAGCTTTATAAAAATAAATTTGCTAAAAAATATTTATCAACCATAATTCATAACCGGGATTGCATTCTTTTATATTTTTATATAGTTGTAACTCAAAAGTTTAAAATATTTTTATAAAAAGACGCAACACACCAAAAATTAGCTCATAATTAAAAATTATCAGAAAAAGAAAATATATAACAATTTTATATTTTCTTTTTGTCCAATGTTAAGTGTTTTCAATAAATTACAACTTCTACAAATTTAATAAACTAAATTATTCTTATAATAGATTTTGTTGTATTTTTGTAACTAAATTAATAGTACACAGATAATTATATTTTGTATTGGTAGTCTAAAAATCACCTATAAAGGTATTTAAACAATTTTAAAAATTTAACATCAACTGAAGATGACTAGTGATAGTCGAAACATTTATTGTTTAGAATTAAAAATGGTTTTATAAATTAAAGAGTTTGTCTTGTTTATTAAATTATTTACATATTTTGTGCTTAAAAGAAATTTATATATGTATGTATATAAATAAATAATACATGTATAAATATATATATATATATATATATATATATATATATATATATATATATATATATATATATATATATATATATATATATATATATATATATATATATATATATATATGTATTATTTATTTATTTTGCCAATGATAAATATTACAAAAAAGAAATAACAAAAAAAAAAAATTCTGGCTGGAGCAAGAAGAAGACAGGTTGTCTTATCACCAGGCTCCGTCACACAAAAGTGTACATGATCAATAAACGATAAATGACAAAAAGACAGTATAAATACAAAAACAAAAACAAAAAACTTCAGCAATAAAATAATTTTTTTGCTAACAATCTTCCAGCCGAACAATTTTAAAAATAAAAAAGTTAAAGCGAGAGAAAATCATAAAAGTTGTAAAAACACACAAAAAAAATATGCTTTGTTTAATTTATTAAAAAAAATCTGATTATTTAATATCATTAAAAAAATGGACAAAAAAGACAATTTTATTTTCGTTATTTTTTAAACTAATGGTTTGAAACCATTTAAATAAAAGCTAAAGATAGTATTAAAGATATAATTTATTTTTAAGTGATTTAGTTTAAACCTTTAAATTGTTTTCGAAAAAGGTATATGAAATCTAATATATAGAATTCCATGTTCGGTAAATGGCGTTTTAAATCATCCTTAAAACTTTGCAAAGTGCAGTTTAAAACAAAGTTTTGTTTTTTATTAAAGATTGGAAGAAATTTTTTCCAAACTAAAGGTCTCCGACATTGAACTTAATACGAACTTAATTTAAGAAGGTTTATGGGAACCACAAAGTTATTTACTGAAAATTTGGTTGGATATTTATGGAAGATTTCATTAAAGTAGGATTGAAATGTAACTGGAAAAAGCCAAAGTTTTGCTTTAAACATAAATAACATTAATTGATGAATATTAGGCATATAAATATTTAAAGCTCCAAGCTGATGTACGAGAGGTTGTGTTTTTCTATTTGCCTCAAATACTATCCTGCAAGCATGTTTTTGTTTATTATAAATTTTTTTGAGTTTAGTGTGATTAGTGGGAACCCCAGGAAATGTTACGGTATGAAAGATTACACAAGTTATTAAGTTGTTTTTTGAGTCTTTTGATTCTTCAGGTATAAATTGCTTTCTGTTAGTTAACTATGATTTAAACCAAAACAAACTTTGATTTTTAACGTCTTTTCAAAAGACCTTCCTGATTTACTGTGTCGAAAGCTTTGAATAAATCAATAAAAAACCCTATTGTATAACAATCACTATTAAATCCATTTGATATATGCTTAACCAATTCAATTATTGCATGGTTAGTAGATTGATTTTTTTTAAAACCGTATTGATTATTATATAAAATCTTATTTTCAGATAGATACTTATAAAGTCTGTTGTACATAATGCATTTAATTAGTTTAGAAAAGCAGGGTAAGACTGAGATAGGTCTGTAGTTTGAAATATTGGTCTCAACGCCAGATTTGAAAATAGGTGTTATTTTTGCAATTTTTAGTTTGTCTAGAATATGACCTGATTTAAGGGAGAAATTAAAAATATGGAATAATGAGGGTTCAATAATATCAAAAACAGATTTAATTACAATAATATTAATTTGATCTATACCTGCACTTTAATTTTTTTCAGACTATTAAAAGCAATACGTAGTTCACTTTTGGTTAAAATCGGTTCTTCCATAATTAAATCAGTTGTTGCAAGATATGAATCAAATTTTTTTTGACCAACTGGAATTTTCGCTGCTAGGTTTGGGCCAGCATCAAGAAAAAAATTGTTTAACTTCTCAATAATAACTTCTTTATGATAAATCATTTTTTCCTCAATAATAAGTTTTTGCGGTAAGTTTTTTTTTTCAATTTTATTTTTCCCATTTAAGTCTCTAATAACACTCCAAGTTTATTTAAAGTTTCCTTTGTTTTTTTCAAGCAGTTTAGCATAGTAATTTACTTTTGATCGTTGTTTAGTTTTTTCAAATTAATTTTTATAATTTTTGTAATTAATTTCATTTTTATAAGTTATATTTTTTAAACATTTATCATACAATTTTTGTTTTTTTCTTGATGATTTTAGTAGGCCTTTAATTTAGGGATACAACCTACTTTGAGTTTATTACTTTTACTTTTACAGGAAATGCCTTATCATACATTTTAAAAAATTGGTTTAGAAATAAATCATAAGCATTATTTACATTGTGTGATTGCAGTACAAGATTCCAATCGACGTAATTATTTAATAATTTTTAAATTGGCATATGTAACTTTTATTGATTTGTCTCATTAATACTGTTGATTTGTGGGTAGCATTATTTAGAGTAACGCCCTCAGTAATAATGAATATAGAGAAATGATCAGTTAAATCAGTCTTGATTATACCAGTTTTAAAACGGCTATTATGAAAATTGTTAGTTATCACATTATCTAATAATGTCGATGATTTATTAGTTACTCTTGTTGCTTTGTTTTTAGTTGGGATAAGGTTATATTTGAGATAAATATCAATAAAGGGTTTTGCTTCACTATTTAAGGCATGGTTGAATAAGTCAATGTTGATATCCCCAATTACGTAAACATGATTTTGCAATATATTTTTTGTGTTTAGGAATGTGAGCAGATAAGTTTTAAATGTTTTTAAACTATCAGCTGGCATTCTATATATAACATTGATTATGTAATTTTTAGCTAATTTATATATACATTAATATATATATATATATATATATATATATATATATATATATATATATATATATATATATATATATATATATATATACATATATATGTATAATATATATATATATATATATATATATATATATATATATATATATATATATATATATGTATATATATAATATATATATATATATATATATATATATATATATATATATATATATATATATATATATATATATATACATATATATATATATATATATATATATATATATATATATATATATATATATATATATATATATATATATATATATATATATATGTATATATATATATATATATATATATATATATATGTATATATATATATATATATATATATATATATATATATATATATATATATATATATATATATATATATATATATATATATATATATATATATATATATATATATATTAATGTATATATAAACTTATTGTTTCAAGTAAAAGGCTTTTATATGCAATTTTAGATTTGGTTTCCTAATAGTTTTTAAAAACAGAAGTTTACAACCAAAAAGTCTTATTTTTACAGGTCACTATAATGATATTATAAAATATTATAATAAATATATTTAAAAAATAACCTACTTTGGTCCGTCTCTTTCTTAAGAAATTCAACAAATCTCCGTGCTCCATATACTCAACAATTAAACATAATGGTTTCCTAATTGTTGAACAGCCAATCAAATTTACAATATTTTTATGATATTCGATTTCCTTCATCAGGTTTATTTCTTCAGAAAAGTCTTTGAGTTCTGATGGGTCAGCGCAATCTACATTTATAATGAATGCAATAATTATTATTATTATTTTTTTATTCTTAAATTGTTTAAAATCTTTTTTTTTATTTTCAAGCAAAATTTTTTTTATTTATTATTACTTTTATTATATACAATTTGATGAAAATATTTATAAGCAGCAAAAAAGTTATAGTTTTTTTATCATTGCTTTTTCTTAAAAAAAATGCTTAAAATTTTTAATAATAGTATCTTTAATGTCACAAACTTTACGAATTTTTTTTTGCTGTTTTCTTTTGCGTTTAAGAATGTCTATTTTGCATATACATATATCAAAATTATTGGTTGGAGCAAGAAGAAGGTAAATTTTACCTTTTCGCCGAGCCCCATATATAAAAGAAAATTTTACAGAATCATAACATACAAATATATATAAAAACACAAATCAGAATAAAAACAGAAAACAAATTAGAAAGTAAAAAAATTCAAAACAGCAAATAAATAAGAAATGTTAAAATGCTTACAACCTCTAAATTGTTTAAAAAACACTTTAACAAATATTTTTGAATAAAAAAAAAATAAAAATATAAAGTTCCATATTTAACATAATCACTAAATAATTTTTTAATATCATTAATATAATTAATTTTTTTTTTATTTGATTGAGCTTTCTCTAAAAGAAACATTTTAAATCAGATAAACTAAGATTACTCAACAGTAGTAATCATTTTGATTCATTCTTAAATTGCTTTAATGTAGCCATCTTTTTGTTGACATATCAGGATTTTTTTTCCACTGATAAGTTCCGCGGTATTTAATTGAACAGAATATTAATTTTAAATTATGTTTGAGATTTGAGAACTTAATGAATAATTTTTTTTTCAAATAATTTTTAAAGACTTTTGGGGACAATCTCATATTTGTTATAAAAATAGTTAATAAAACTTCGTTTAAATTGAGTTTATATACATTGAAAGCACCAAGCGCACATAAAAGTGGTTTGCAAGGAGCTTTTTTGTTGGCTCCAAACACTACTCGGCATGCATGTTTTTGTTTGTTGTAGATTTTTTTGCATATTTTGTAGAGCCTGTACTAGCCCACTAAATAATATAGTAAGACAAACAACTTTGAATAAAGGCAAGATACTATTTTTTCAGGGTTGTTACATTTAGAAAAAGTTTAATGTTAAACACAATTAGAATATTTTTTGAGAGTGTTTTTTAATACTATTTGTATGTGAATACCAAAGTAAAGTTTTGTCCACTTTTCCTCCTAAAAAGTTTACATATGTTTCTCTTTTAATTTAAATATTAGAAATTTAGGTAACTTAAGGAAAATTTTTTCAGAATAATTTACTATATGGAAAAGTATATATATTTTTTTATTCACATTTAGTTTTATATAACTATTCATTAACTATTTTAAAAAGTGTTTTAACATCTATATGAGAATAAAAAAGATTGAAATCAGTAGCAAACAAAATTAGGTCTTAAAGATTTGTTGCTAAGTATAAGTCGTTTATGTACAATAGAAATAAAAGTGGTCATAAAATAGAGCCCTGAGGAACTCCACATGTTATAGAATATGGAATTGTGTTATTTTGAGCATAGTATAAGAATTGCTTTCGATTTTTTCAGATACCCTTCTAATCAAAGTAAGTTTTTATTTTTTACTCTGCAGTTTTCCAATTTTGTTAATTAACATTTGTGATTTACCGTATCAAAAGCTTCTGACAGATTAATGAAAACTTTTAATGTAAGACAGTCATTATCAAAAGCATTAAGTATTTGATAGGGATGTTCAACTACTGCATGTTCAGTAGAATTATTTTTTTTTTAAACCGAATTGCTTGTAATACAACATGTCGTTCTCAGTTAGATGGTTATATAGCCTGTTTTATCTTATTCTCTCAAGCAATTTTTAAAAAAGGTAGTATACTATCTTGTATAATGTTTTATACTAAGTATAGATATAAACCTGCATTTTTAAATACTTGACTTATCCAGATTTATAAATTGGTGCTCAACGGAAAATGTTGAGCTTGTCAGGAACAATACCTGTTTAAATGAAAGGTCAAAAATATGAAATAAAGAAGGTTTAATAATATGAAATACCGATTTGACAATATCAATAGTAATTTTATCAAAACTTTCCCTTTTTTTACTTTTGAGACTGCTAAATGCAGCTCTCAGCTCACTAAGTTTTAAACTTGCTTCAGCCATAAGTTTATCATAACTTTTATATTATGAGTCAATATGTTTGGAGTTGAGTGAAATTTTAGCAGCCAGTTTTGAACCAATATTAAAAAGGTAGTTGTTTAGCTCTTCAACTATAAAAGATTTATTATAAACAAACTTTTTATTAATTAAAAGATTTTTTGGAAGAATGTTTATAATTATTTTTTTCCAATTAAATCCTTACTTACAATAATTACTTTTTTAGTGTTTCTGTTGGTTTTTTTAATTAACTAAAAATAATAGAGCTTTTATGTAAATCTTTTTGCTTTTTAAAATATACTTTTCTACTTTTTATTAGCTATTTTATATTTATAAAGTTGTTTTAAGATAATTTATATGTGTTTCATTTGTTTTTTGAAGATTTTAGTAAACCTTTTGACATCAAGGGACTTTGAAGTGGTTTGGTATTTATGACTTTTTTTCTTCTGGAAACGCTACTTCAAACAGCTTTCTAACTTGACCTAGAAACAAGTTATAAGCATTGTTAGAATCACTTTGTAGGAAAATTAAGATCGAATCACTATAATTTTTTAAACAGTTTTTAAAATGCTTTAGGGAGTTTTCATTGATCTGCTGCCAAAAAACTGTGGATTTTGTAGCAATAGTGTTAACTAAAATGTTATTGGTAGCTAAAAATGTCAAAAAATGATCTGATAAATCAGTCTGAATTATACCTGTGTAAAAATGAATAGTATAAACTTAGTTTGCTATGATGTTATCGAGTAACATCATAGCAAATGTAACTCTTGCTTATTGTTGAAAAAACGTTTTTTCTAATTGAGTATTAAAAAAACTCTTAAGATTGTTATAAGAAGCGTTGAATAGGTTGATGTTAAAAATCACCGATAATCTAACTAACTACCGATAATATAAAAAATTTTTAAAAGTCATTGTTATTTTTTTTATGTTTTTTCATCACTTATTAGTACTTTGTTGGATAGCCTGTAGATTTTTTTACTGCTTGAAAACAACAAGACATGATATCAATATGTTAATAAAAAAATCTATAGGAATATTTTTCAACAATCTGAAAGCATCATGTCTAAATCATTTTAACTGTTGGTTATTCACCCTTCAATTAACAATTGATATCCCAGTAGGAAAAAAGATATATTTTGACAAATAAAAAACGTCTTTTTTATGACTTGTTATGTCTTTATATCATATGCCTAAATAAAAACGTAGAAAAGACGTCTTTTAAAAAGAAGTCTTCCATAAATAGATCGAAAAGATGTCAATGCAAAGCTAATGCAGCATAGGTTTAACTTGGCTTCAGTCAAAAAATTTTGGTGTTGTTGAACCCTTGTTCGTATTTGAAGTTTTGTTTTATTAAAACATACTTTGGAGCATTTGCACTTAATTAAATAGGTTTCTGGGGTGCTGTTGCATGAAAGTTTAGACTTTTTTTTAGGCGTTAATAGCGTTTTTAGGTTAGCATTTGATTTAAAAACAGTCTGTAACCAGCTTTTCTGAATATTCTTTTAAGTCTGGGAGATATTATTGGTGTCCATCCCAGTGGGAACGGAAGTAAAAAAAGACGTCTTTTAAACGTCTTATACACGTTTTAGACGTTTTCTAAACGTCTTTTGAACGTTTTGGACGTATTTTAAACGTTTAAAAGACGTCTTTTTTACTTCCGTGCCCACTGGGATGGTAAAGAGATTGTAGGAAGGTTATTAGAGTTTGATGAAATTTCATTTTTGTTCGCAAAATGATTTTTTCGAACCTGATTAGAAATATCTTTAAGCATTTTTTCATCGTATCCATTTTCAGTAAACACTTGAATTAAAAAATTTATCTCATCTTTTTAACGGTTTTCGCTGCATATTGAGTATGCTCTGTGCATGTATCCTTTGAATATTGCTTTTAAAATTGTAGGATCATGATTAGAGTGAGGTTTGATTTGGATATTGGTTATTGCATCTTTCCTGTGAACCTTGAACTCATATTTTCCTTGTGTATTGTTAATAACAGTTATATCCAAAAATTAAGTATCTTATTTTTGTTTTCAACCTCAATAGTATATTTTAAAGAAGGATGTTGTCTGTTAAGAATTGTTTAAAACTGTTCCGCTTGATTCCAGTTAGAAAACCTTGCATGACTATCGTCTACATATCTATGAAAGGATTTAATATCAATTAAAGGAATCATTGTTGTTGCCATTTTTATTGCTTTTTCCTCATGGTATTGTAAAAAAGATTCAGCCTAAACAACTATAAAAGACAATCCAATTAGGCCTGAATTCTCCAACTCATGAATCTCACCATTCCACAAGAAATAACAACGAAACAAACTTCAATTAGTTGTTTTGTTTCAGTTAAAGTATGTTTAGTTGAGTTTTTGTAAGAAACGCTTTTATTTAATTGATCCAAAAGTATTAAACCAGTCTGCATTAGCTTTGCATGAAGTAAATTGTAATGAAGACATTGAATGAAATAAAGTAATAACACTTAAAGTTGAGGATAAAAACATGAAAGAAAAGTCCGTGAGGCCTTAGAGATATAAAAACATCAATGTTCTCCAAAAAATGCATACTATGTCTACATAAAAAATTTGAAATAATTACACATACAAACCAAGAATGTTTATTAAACAAAAAATCGGAATTGATTTCTAAATCCAGGCACGAAAATAAGTTTCTCCTAAAAAACTAAAAAAATAAGTGAGCTCAAATAATAGTTACATTAACTCCCCTTCGAAAATAATATATTATTTTTCAAAAAAGCTTAAGTAATCATTTCTAAAGAATTCTTTTTACAATAGTGTCAGCCAATTACACAATTGTCTGAAAAATTACAGTAGTTAAGACATGTGACTTCTTGTAATTTAATTTTTGGTATAAATTGAAGTTTTATCAATTTGATCATTCATTTCTGATGAGTCTTTATTGATAAAACACAGTGTTAAATGAGAAAAAATTTTGCTAAGTGATTTTCTACTAATTTGTAATTGCTCTGTTCTTTTAAGAACATTGAGCACTCTTTTTGTAGATTGCATTTTAAATTGTTTAATATATATATATATATATATATATATATATATATATATATATATATATATATATAATATATATATATATATATATATATATATATATATAAATATATATATACATATATTTATATACATATATATATATATATATATATATATATATATATATATATATATATATATATATATATATATATATATATATATATATATATATATATATATATATATATATATATATATATACATATATATATATATATACATGGCCTACTTAAAATACACGGCTTTACATCCTGCATTTTATTTAAATTCACAAAAAGTTCTAAATTGGATTTAATATCGAGTTTAATAATATTTCTTGTTTAATTTGCAGTTGTTTAATTCGTAATTTAAATATAAATAAGAAATACTATTTCTGAATCACAAGTTCGGATATATAAAGAATACAATAATAAAGTATTTCTATTTTTTCCTCATAAATAAAAAAACATAAATACAAGATAAATATAAACTTTATAAAGATAATTTTTTTAACCACTCATTCCTAACTGTTAGATTTCAAGCATAAAAAACGTTCTTTTACTTATACATTAAAATTTCAAAAGTTCAAAGCAATTTACTCTGAAAAACAAAACAAAAACATGCATGAAGTAAAAGTCACACTAATTAAAAAATACTTATTAAAAATTATTTGAATCTTTGTCTTTTTTTTAAAGCAACAATATTGTCGTTATGAACACAGTCAGTAATCACTTTTCTATTATTGTTAAAGTGGATGATGGAAATAGTGCGGGTAACTATTTTACTAACTTTTTAGCAATATACCCAGCAATATACACTGCAACTTCACAAGATTCATCAGAGAGTATAATTTTTTCAAAGTTTATATCTTATATTTCAGTTAAAAACTCAGGTGAATATTTCGTCTCATCAGCTTCAATATCATTTTCTATAATATTGAATGATTCTTTTACCAAATTTTTTATTTTTTATTATTCTTTCACTATATAAATCATCCTTCAAGCTTACCAGAAACCGGCCACCACTCATTTGTCGATATTGGCCAAAACGCCTTTCAATCGAGTCACTTTGAAAACGAGCAGTCAAAATAAAGTCGAAACTATAATTTAAAAGGTCTTCTACTAGAGATGCTTGGCATAAAAGAGTCCTTCGTAAAGCTAAAGATGTTTGAGCTGATAAGGTAATGTTTTCACAATTAGAAATTTTCGAACTTTCCCAGGTTGAAAGCCACTGTACCATTGAACGCAAAAACTCAGGCTTTTTATCACCTTTAATCGCTGCTCTTCCAAGTCTCTAACTGAAACAAAATTGATCTTATGAGTTGGAGATTGTCCACCACACGTTGAAAAGATGCAGGAAACTAGAAGCATTATTGGAAGTCGAAAATTAAGATTATAAAGCAGCTATAGTAGTTTCATGAAAAATGTCAAGTGTAATCTGAACATTCTGTTTGAATTTACCTGGGTGTAAAACTTTATTGCAAAATCTAGGAGCTTTTCTTAAATTTGCATCCAAGTTTTTATCCTTTTCATAAACATTGTGCAACAGTTTCCATGAAGTTACACCAAACTTGATAGTAATATCATCAAAAAATGACAAAAACTGAATTCAGGAAATATAAACCTTTTTCAATTTAACAGATTATTTTTAACATTTTTTATTAGGTTTACGACATTAAAAAATAAATAAACTTTTTGTGATTGAAAATTTGTAAATGAACTTTGATCATTTTAATCATGTAATTTCAATAACTTTGAGTAAGTTGAAACATTAGTACCATGGTTGTCACATACAATACCTCTGACTCTAAAACCACTCTTCGTTAAAATATCTAAGCAGCTCAAAATTTCATCTCTTAAACACTCCATATTGATTTTAGTAACTGGAGAAATATTAATAATGCAGGGTATATTTTCTTTTAACCTAATTATCAAAAAACATATATAAACATCTATAAAATTCATTCTTATGATTGGTACCAATAAATTCTCCTCCACAATACTCTGCACACTTTTGCAAATACAAATAAAACAATAATATCCTTAGATAAAGTATTATTTTCCATCAAAAGTTTTTTTATTTTTAACGAATCAATTTTACCTTTTATCTTCTTTAAAAGGGAAAATGAAGGTAAGGTAAACTATTCAAGAAGAAGTTTATAAGATTGAAGGGAAGTATTTCATAGCAATAAAGCATATTGGATAATATCAGCTGAATAAACTTGACTTTTTTTAGATTGATGTTTTAAGTTCATCCAAAAAACATATTTTGTGCTTGTCTTTTAAGATATGAGAGAGAGTTTTCAAGCATGCTTTTCTTACTAAGTTTACAGTTGTTTCCATGCCTAAACCAATGTGGCAAAGATACTGAAAAACCTTTAAGAAAAAATTTTACATGCAAGTCTTTATTAATCTTGATACTTTCCTTAACTTCTGGCACACATTCATCATTTATTTCAAGTTTATAAAAAATAACATAATCTACATATTTTGAAAAAGTATATCCAGGAGGGCTGTCCGCTTCACTTATTGATTCTAAATCAATTGATCTAAATCAGTACGGAATCATTTGTTAAAAATGTTTGGTACTCGTCTTCTTGAAAAAGCCTTTTTTTAAGAGATCTTCTTGCTATTGAAATTGCAGGTAATAAAGACGTTGTTTCCATATAATCTGGATAAATTGTAGGGACTGGCTTTAAGGCTTTAATCAAACAGAATCTAATATCTTGTTCGCCCTTTTTTATAAGTTTATTCTCAAGATGTTTTACACAGACTACTGATGAGGAAGTTGGTTGCCAATTTTTTCTGTTTACAAATCGAATCAATCTATTTTTTAGATCTTCATTTGTTGGAAAAGAAAATATAGGAGTTGATTGATTTCCTGAATAATTAGATCGACATCCAACAA